TTTTCGATTTATACTCTCTCGACAAATTCTGCATGTTGTTTCATTTCCATTGTCATCAAATTCCATTCAGTAGGGGACTGTTAGAATGGTTAAGAAAATTTTGTACAAAAACAAAATTTTTAGTCAACTTTGGACTATAATTTAACTAGGTCCCAAGTATCGGTTATAGCGGGTATTGGTGGTAACGCATTCTATACTATGTTATGATTCATGTAGTATATTTGGTTGTTCAAAACCATTATCGGGTGAATGAAAAATTGAAACCAAAGTGAGCTCCATGAAAATGGTGTGTTTCGTGAAATTTTCATAGAGGTTGGGGTTAAGATTTGTCCCACATTGCTTTAATGGGCAAACTTTGTGTGGATTTATAAGCTTTGGGTTTGCAACTTGGAGAGGGCCCCAAGGGATACCCAAGTTTTGTGAAAGGGTGAGATTATGAACAAAGTGGGCTAAACCTATTGGACCTAAAACAAACACACATGCGTGCGTCGCCGCCGCCATTCATCCTGTCGGTCGGGCAGGCTAGGCGCGGGTGCGTGGTGTGAGGTTGGGTTGGGTTGGGTTGGGTTGGGTTTGTCTGGCCCAATGCTATCTTTTTGGGCCAAAAACATTTGAATTTTATTTTTCTAAAATTAAATTCTTACCATTTGGAATTTGAATTTTGGTTTGAAAGTCAAAATTAATTTGTTTGGTCCAATGCACGTATTCTTCTTTACTAAACAGGTTCCTACATATTTAAATTAAACCTGAACAAGTTTTATTTGTTCAAATTTAAACCCGAATAGGTACTGTACCTATTCATATCTGTCTGAATAGGTTTCTATCTATTCAACACTATTTCGAATAGGTTTTCACTTGTTAAAACTTGTTCTAAAAAGCCACAATTTCTCCTATAAATAGTCAGTCCCTCATTTTGATTTAACACTCAATTATTTTCGTTCTTACTTCTGCTATTGCTCTATGCATTTTGCTGCATTAATTTTTCTGTGAGAAAGTATATAAATACAAAGTGTGTTTGTTGTGCGAATAGTTTGTAGTGCTGCTACTGTTTGTTGTGGATCATTTCATCTTGGAAGATAGACGTCTATAATCTGTGAATACCCTAGAGAGGACGAATTTGTCTTAAAAAGACAATGTTAAACACTGGAGTTGATCATTCTAAGAAAATATTTTCTGTAAGTATTTTCTTGTATTTTTATTTTGTTTTCTTCCTCTTCCTCTATTTCCATTTTCTGTTTGGTTTCTGTAATTAAACAAAATTTGAAAAATCTTTCTTTTAATTTATTCCTTGTATGTTCTGTTTGTTATTAAATGCACAAACAGAACTTAATTTTAATATAGTGAAAGATTGTCCAACAATTACACTTTTTACTTTTATAGTTTGACTTAAATTTTTACTTTAATCCTTCTATAATTTTAATATGAACAATTTCATCCCTACATTTTTTTGTTCCAATCTTGAATTGATCATTTCGTTAAAAAAATTTTTAATTTTTTCAACGTGTACACTTCAAGGGATTGACAAGTGTTTCATAATCATTAATCTTAACTTCTAACTTGAACAGAAAGACCAAATTAAAACTAGAAAAAACCAAATTAATCAATTTAAAACAATAATAACCAAAGTAAAAATTAAGTCAAATTAAAAGGGTTAAAAACATAATTAAACCTTACATATGTAGGTGTGTGTGTATATTAAAGCAATAACTACTTTTTCTCTTTCTCTGGGTTAAATAACATACTTTTTCTATTTAGATTAAGGAATTAAGTAGAAATTTAAAATAAAAAAAAAATGTGATGAAAATATAAATGAAATAAAAATTAATTTTTACTTTATATTTTTCATATTTTTTTTTTTTAGTCTCTTTCCCAAATTTATCTATGATCTAACACAACCTTATATAATTATATATATATATATATTATATTTCGAAACTGTCTCAAAATTTTATAATATAAAAAATATTTAATTTTTTGTCAAATCTTCATTTCATTATAAAATTTTCTGCTTATTTATATCTATTCATATACTATTATTAAGTGAATGCTTAAATTGGTTTAATGAAAAATTATTCTCCTCATGTTACGTGACAGTATTTTTTATTTTTTTAAAAAAAATTACACAAAAAGGTGGACGAGGTACGAATTTTTGCAGCATTATTTTATTCTTTTCCTTGAGGTTATACTTTTTTCTTTGTGATAACTATATCTTCTCTTGGTTTAGATATTTGATTTCTTTATCTTATCTTATTGTTTACCAAGATTTATTTATAAAGAAAATTTGATTTAACATTTTTAATCCTTAAAGTGAAATTTTAATAACAAAATTAATCGGGGTTTTCAATCATCTACAACAAATGGATATTTATAAAGAAATTTCTTTTTTAGAATAGCTACTCTAACTATTTTAAATTTGCAGCCAATGCCTCGTAAAAAAAAATAATAAAAAAAAAATAGTAGTGATATTGTAAAAAATATGTGCTTCAATTATTTTTTTTTTTTAAATTTTATAGTTAAACGTTTGACCCAATGAGATATTGACACTTGTAAGATTCAAGTATTTTTAAATTTATAGGCAAATTGTATAATAGGCTAAGTGCAGTTTTTCTTATCTTAGGTTCAAAAAAATCATGAGTTAAAAGTATTCCTCCTCAATTTTCATATAAGTACGTTTTTTCTTGGAAAAATTACTCATAAATTCCAATTTGGAAAATGTTACTTTATTTAGTTCTGAATATTTTTTATTAAACCATTTAGTCCTTTTTATTTTTGGTATAATATATTTTTTTGATATATTGTATATAGAGTTTACCTTTATGCTCATATTGTGATTTCTTTTTGATTTTTTATTGGGGTGTGCGTTTAAGGTATGCTGCAACATTACTTTTTTTTAGGAGGGGATTTCGTAGACTCCTATGGAAGCATATGATGTGTCCCAGTTGGTGATGTGTGTTGCTAATGTTGTTTTGGGGGTGTATTGCTGATAGATTTTTGGGTGGGGTGTTTGGGGTGGTGCTAATTGATTCTTCGAGGTTGTATGTGATTGATGTGCTATGTGAAAAAATTCAAATTAGTTTTATTTTTGTTTTCTATTTTTGTTTGTGATGGGTTTTCTGATGTTTTTTCGGTGTGTTTATTGGACTATTGTGTTTATGATGGTTGTTGTGGTTATAGGTTATCTTGGATGCTTTTTTTGTTTTTTCACATTGTGGTTTCTCAGTTTTGTGTGGGGCGTTTTGGATTTTGATTTGGTGTTCTTTTGTGGGATTTGGTGTTTATAATGTGTAGTTCGGTGTCGCGAGTAAACATTTTTTTTTATTTTCGCAATGTGGTTTCTGGGTTTTGTGTGCAGGTTTCGGATTTTGATTTGGTGTTGTCTTGTGGGAATTGGTGTTTATAATGTGTTGTTTGGTGTTGGATTAACATTTTTTTTTTTTTTTGCAATGTGGTTTTTGGGTTTTGTGTGCGGGTTTTGAATTTTGATTTGTTGTTCTTATGTGGGAATTGGTGTTTATAATGTGTAGTTCAGTGTCGGATGAAAAAAAAAATTCGCAATGTGGTTTCTGGGGTTTGTGTGCGGGTTTTGGATTTTGATTTGGTGTTCTTGTGTGGAAATTGATGTTTATAATATGTATTTTGGTATTGTATTGTCGTTGGTATGCATACACAATGTGCCGACGATGAGGGTTTTGTGAGAATTTTCCTTATTGATGTTTATGTTGTATCGATTAGTTGTGATAGTGTTACATTTGTTAACATATGACGATGGAGTAGTCTTTTATTAAGATATGCCGATACAATTTGTAACAAATGTCGATCCAATTTTTAACATTACATCTGGGTCTCGTTGTAACAGTGTAACTAGTACGCGACGTTTAGTCAATTCAATTAACGTAGCATAACCATGAATAGTGGTACATTTATGAAGCTCTGTATGTAATGTTTTTGCTTGTTTTGCAGCCATGGAGTTTGCAGTGTTGTTGATATGTACGTTCGGCCAGACGAATGCAGTGTTTACATTATTCGCACATAACAACTTGCGTACAAAATAATAACAAACCCACCAATAACATTATCATTGCCAAATACGTGAATAGATAATTCTTCGACTGCATTACAACGTCAACCATAACACCGACAAAACTGTGAACAAAAAACTGTACCAACAGTACAGACAATCCTAACAATTAGTATATTATTTCAAACATTACGAACAAAGTACATATACCAAATGTGTCATCCCTTTCATAAAATTGTATCCCACAATGATGTTTAAATTATTCGGACGTAACAACGTTATCACTAGCACATTCAAAATGCCACTGAAAAAACTCAAAAAAACCACTGTACTCACACACCTCCAGGCAAGTCAGCCAAAAGACTTTCCACAAAAACTTTTATCCCAAAAAGATGTTTAAATTATTTGCATTTAACAACGTCATCAATAACCAAGTCAAACTGTAAGCAAAAACGCTCAAAAAAACTATTGAACTTACCAACCACCAAGTAAGACAGCCAAAAAATTTGTTGTTACGTACGTACAACAACAAACCAGAAAACATAAATAGTTCAAATACCAAGTCCAAGAGCAAAGTGTAGTGTATTGGGATGGGGGGTAAGGACAGTGCCATCAACGTATTATTGCACTAAGTCCTCTAATCGAGTCGTTTAAGAACATCTTAACAATTGCTGCACATAACTCAAGTGGCATTAGCCCATCCATCATGTTAGCAATGTCGCAACCATGCATGTATGCCTGATGATGAAGCAAACAAAAATCGCACAATCCGATTTGGTACGTAACAGAAAACCAACAATCTTAATACCCTCATGGTTGGAAAACAATTCAACTGTTTTTAAAAAATAAAAACAGCAACCAAAGCAACATCACAACTTATGTTTTCGGGCTATGTTGTGGGCAATCCATGACTGAAACAAGTGGGCCATCAAAATTGCGTTGTAACACTACCGACTACCAATCGTGTCTAAACGAATCTCGCATAGTAGTTTTCCACCCACTACTTCTATAAAATAAAAGTTTCACATACATCAATTGTATGCCACACATATCAACTTCAAACAAACAGGAATAATTAACGTAAGTACAAAAAAAAAATGCAAATTTCCCTACCTGTCGCCAACCTTATGAAAAAAATCACTACGCCTTCTAACAAGTAATTTCATGTTCACAGGCTTACCACTTTCAGCGATTCATTGTAATATTCATCCCGCATTCCTCTTCTCGGTTTTGTAGAATTATAATGTTTCCATGTCTCGTTGAACGAGTCGTGCACCATTATAGTCCAGTGTTTGGCATGGTACACCGAGTAATGCGTGCATCTGTGTTCTTTCGCGGTTTTGGTTTGAACATTCAGATACTTCGCCCGCAATAGTGCACTCGGATTCCTCATCACATCCTGTTACATTTTGCCAAACACAAACAGATTCAGCTATTCAAATAACCCCATACGTATGACAATGTTGGGTAGGTGGAAATGTCCACGTAAAAGTCTGTGCGCTTACAGTACATATACTTACCGAGCATAACCTACTAAAAACGTAAGACATGTCAACGTTCTCGATCCTATCAACTACTTTTTTCTGCAACTCCATCAACATCGCTGTGTATGTGTCAATTACCTATACAAATCACTGACAATGTTCTTTCTATCAAACTACAATCTCAAACTGAACAAAGTCATAACTAATCATTTCTATTTATTCACACAATAGAAACTCGAATCACACTTTACTTACGTTCCCTTGAATAAAGGATTGCTGCACTAGGTCATAAATATCTGCAAACATGACTTGTATACCGCTTTCACCTCCATCCCAGATTACAGCCCTCCATCCCAGATTGCTGCACTAGGTCATAAAATAAAATGCAATGAAATTGTTGATGATTACCCATCGCCAAGCAAAAGTGTACACTCTTCCAAAAGCTGCATTTCGTCATGTTCAAGCATGTTTCCCACAGCATGCTTCCTGCTTATTCCAAACCCTTGCCATGTTTTATTTCCAACTTCAGCATCCTCAACGTCGTAAATTACTTCAGTCCCAACGGTCTCCCTATTGCCCGTCTTCCATATTTGTTTAGCACGACCACCTAAATTGGGATACTCGTAGTCGCTTAATCGGAATTCACATCACGCCTTACTCTTGACTCTTCTCACCAATGATGTCTTGTTCAGACTAGGACTAATGTCTTCAGCCTTGCCTATTCCTTCTAAACCAATGACGTCAAGAATGACGATGGTGTCTAGTTGGCCACCAACACCGAAATTCTCAATGTCACTCTCTATCGCCACATTATCACATTTTGTACTGTCAACACGTTCATCACCCAAATTTGCAACCCAATCCATACCATCAACACACTCTATCAAACCCTTCCCAACTTGGACAAAATTTTCACCAGCTGATGCTGAACGTTGACCACTGTCACAACTTAACAAATTTTTTGACTCAATACTTTTACCTGACCGATTTTCTAATGGCATCCGCAGGTTGGAATTCTCCTTTAGAATTGACTGGGTCATTTTGTAGACCTCACAGTCGTCCACGTGGTCTTCCAATGTTGTTATCCTTGCTTATAGCCAACTAACTAATGTGCTTAGACGAGTAATTTCAACATCTTTTGCAACAATTACACCATCAAAGCCAATCAATAGGTTGCTAGCCTACGCACCTAGCATCCTTTCCATGGCCTCGACCTTACCATCTAGCTCACCCACACGGCCAGACTTTGTTCGAACTTCTGTCTCCAACTCATCAATTCTGTTCAAAGTTTTCTTTAACTATTCTGTTGCATCATTGGTGTCTTCACAAACAGTGGCCCTAGGTGGTGTGCATGATAGGTCTAACAGATCGGGGAATAACACCGGCCATGCTTCCCCAGCTGCCAATATTTTCCCAGCCTCGTTGTTACTACCACATGACTGTGGCTTGGGAATGTCTTCTTTCTTAGTTTCCGACGTCAATTCAACCTCACCACCATGTGGCGAATCTGGCTGCCAACAATCCAAACTCGTTTCAACAAAGTTCATAGCATCAATTGGCGCATTAGCAGCCCACCCATCCCATGTACTCACCGGCTCCACTTCCAACACCTTCCCACTTTGTTCCACACCGACTTGTGCATCTGCTAATACCTTAACAAAATACCTTTCAATGACAGTTCCAGGAAGTTTATCAGGATTAAATTGGGAAAAAAACACAACGGTACCATATTTTTAATTACCAATAAACCAAACATGTAACACAACTCACCAACAAGTTGTAAGTCATACCTTTATAGAACCCTCCACCGATAATTCCAAACTTTTCAATTTCCCAATGAGTTTTCCAAGGTTCCACTGGAAAAAAGGTAATGAAACATTGCACCTATCCAGCTCTACAATGCCCATGTGCTTACAAAGGAAGAGCTACAAACATTAAAAAATGATAATGGTAAACATAACGTCAAGGATTCATGTTTACTGTTTAGTAGCGTTTGGGTACTTTAATACTGTAAATCAAAAACATACCAGTAACGCAACCACACACCCGGTAACCCGTTTTGGCTTGTTGTGCGCCTCATTCAACAAAGAAATCTATGCGTTCCAGATCGTTGATGTCCAATCATACAAGCCTAACATCTCCGACTTATCAATAACCCGAACGAATGCCTACCCAATGGACTCACTCATTGTAGCAAAAAATAACTTCGCACATATATACAAACACATCAATTTCGCAACATCTTCTTCGTCACGCTCCGTCCTCCCATGCATTGCCACTACAAGTGAATCTTTGATTACCTTCGATGAAATCCTACTGACGTTATGGCAGCGTTGTTGTATAAAATTTGACGGAGCCTTCCTACCATGCGCTAAATCCAACTTCTCTTTCCTATATTGCACCCCAAAAACTAAACAGATGTTACTATTCCGGATCAACAACCCTCTCCCCCCGATGAAAATTTTCTCATCATTCGGATTGTATCTCTGAATTATACGACACACTGTTGCATTACACTTCTTATATGCGTTCGGATCCAATTTATAAACTTGGATCGCATCAATCATGAGCCAAAACGGGTCTTCTGTAAGTGCTTGACATGATCATCACCCAAATCGAACTCCAACACGGTTTTGATCACTCTGGCAATATTCGACCGGTACATTGGCTTCGTTGTGTCCACAACAACTTTTTTCATAAGCCTCGTAACTGTTCTTCTTGTTTTGAACTACAATTTTGCTTGTCTCCCTGTTGTCAATCGGGTAGAAGTCTTAACTGAAGAACATGACTACGGAGTTCTACATTCCACCTTGCGTCTCGCACTCTGCCACCTTGCACTTCCTGCAACAACATTAACATTACTATATCAGCAGAAGAACAATCAACTAAATAACAACAACAAACAACACAACATTCTCGATATCACCACAAAAACAATCAACAAAACAATACCATAACAACAACACGTAATAATAAATTTGTCTTTAACCATTAACTAGTTGCCCCACTGTGTATTTGACCATTGCTTCCACATCTAAACACAATATTTGAAACTACCATTTTTTATACATTTTAACCAAAACATTATTCATCGCCGTGGGCAAAAACCACCAAGGGTTCTAATGTTAATTCACCGCGTAACGCAAATGCCGTAACATTTCAAATACCAAACTTTAAACCACACTATAACGTCTACCACCTAACTAACGTATACAACCATTAACTCTAACAAAATTAAGAATTACGTAAACCACATATATGTCCTCAATTACTGCCTTGCACATATTACACCACATCAATACAATCAAATCAATGGTACAACCCTCATTGAAATTCAAGCAACTTACAAATTCAAATTAACATCGACATTTTAACACCACCACATCACCCATTAACTTATTCTCAGACCCTACCCAAACAAGTGACCATAGTCCAAAAAAACAAAAGTAGTTTCCAGTGCCCACTCCCTCACTTTTTACCACTCATAACGACATCACCCAAAAACAGGGGTCCGTCACCCACGTAAATAAACACACAATTGGACCATCACAAAAGATCATAACCACCGCTATCCCTTACTCAAATCAAGACACCAATCCACATTATAACACAACTACATCATAATAAAGGGCACAACAGTAAAAATCATTAAACCTAAACTCCACTCCCGTCCTGCCATTAACACACCAACGTACAACACAAAACACACCACCAATCGACAACAGGATAGAACGTAACAAGTACATTTCAACAATTCGCAACAAAAATCAAAGGCACACATCAAAAAACTATATAGTACATATCTGCCGCCATTTCTTCCCGCGACGATCATCGGCGCCAATGATGTATAGATGTTGTATTCAATGCCAATTAAAGAATGGAATGGTGATCAGACCCAACTTCACGATGGCAGCAATGTATTTCAATGAATGAGGTTTCTAGTAACTTAGGGTTTTCGGCGACAATCAAATGTTAAATTCAGAAATTAACATCAACATTACCAACCCAAACAAAAAATCTCAGAAATCACGCAAACAATATCGTTGCAACGTTCAAATCCCAATCTGCAACCCAGAAATTACCTTCCATATTCATCCAGATATGTGGGACAATAACGAAACATTGCATTTCGGTGTTGGACACTTTGGTAAAATTAACACCAATAATAACCCATATTTACCCTTACTTTTTGCCACGTAGCACATAAAATATGGACTTTCAAGTCTTTAATATTGAAATGGGACCTATCAGTCTTCCAAAAAAACACAGCACTAAACGGTTTAGCATTTCCAAATTCAAGATTTAATAGTGCTTTGCCCTTTCTTGGAATAAGTTATTTAAGTTATTTCTATATTACAAGCTATAAGCAAAAATTGTACCAAATATTTTGGTATATATTTTCAAAATTTTTAAAAAAGAAAAAGAAAAAGAAACTATAAGCAAATCCAATAAATTACGCCAAATGTGGTTGATATCATAGAAAATTTTAATTTGACTTATTATGGCATGAATAAAACAGCAAAAGATCTAAAACATTAGGAAGAAATCTACAGTACGACCCTAAATTTGTGCATATTATAAGAAAGCTATGTTTTTTTTGGAAGATTCATTAGAAAATCTTTTTTCAAGTGTTTGTATCCTAATTAGTCCATAAGATATTATTGTATTTCAATAAATTCTATTATTTGAATATTTGATCCACCAAATCCTAATTCTCATATTTAAGGTATTTTATGGACATTTCTACCCTTACAAATATTTTTTGAACGGTTAGCAATTTGGTGGTGTGAACACTCATATTTTACAACGTGAATATTCACATTGACGTGTAAATGTCCACATTGACGATGTGAATATTCACATTGACGTATTAACATTCATATTGATGGTGTGAACAGTCACATTGACGATGTGAACATTCATATCGCAGAATATTCACACTGTAAATGTTAATATTATTATTAGGGATATTTTGGTAACTATGTCATCCATAAGACTTATTGGAACATAAGAAAATAATATGGACTAAATAGAATATAAGTAGGTAAAAAGAGATTTATAAAAAAATGTCCTCTTTTTTTTTTACTAAAAATTATAAATATGTATACTGAGTTATGTCACTTTGTGGTAAAATTACGAATAATAAATTTATGATGTCCACTCTCAAGTTGCGAATGAAATAATCATGACATTTTTTTGCCAGCCAAGTCATGATATTTTATAGTAAGAAAATTTATGACATTTTGTGATTTATGTGATGAAGTGTGGTGAACTTTCTATAAGAAAAAGGTGTACACGCTTTACAAAAATATTATAAAATGTGAAGTTTAACTTGAGATTTTAGATAAAGTTCGAAATGAATGATTTTTTTTAATCGACTTATAGCACCTTGAATTTTGAAAAATAGAATATTCAAATAGATTATTTATTCTAAATTGAGTGTTTGTTTTTTAATCGAATTGAAGCGGATAGTTTCTTGTAAATTTTGTTACGCATCATGAAAAAATATCATGAAACTAATTCAAGAATAATTGCATAACATATAATAAAACATTATAAATTAATTTAATGTTAAAAAATCTTCATGAAGACATTTCATAATATTTCTTTCATAATACCTACTATTTTTTTAACACAAAAATTAGATTTCATGATATTTCTTTCATAATACCTAATATTTTTTTAACACAAAAATTAAATACACTGTAATAGATGTTTTATACTATTAATAACATATACATGTATATTATACACCTCATAATGGGCATGAATTCGCGCGCTTCGCGCACATCACAGTCACTAATAGGGGTGTCCGCGGTTCGGTTTGGGACGGTTTACAGTTCGGTTTGGACCTGCCCGCATGTATGCGGTTTGGGAAAAAATCAACCTGCAACCGCCCGCAATGCGGTTTGCGGTTTGTGCGGTTAGGGTTCGCGGGTGTGCAGGCAGTTGCGGGCGGTTTGCGGATTGAACTTTTTTTCCAAAAATTTATTTTTAAACCTTTTTTTTCTCCCATTTTGTCAATCTTTATTTTGGACCTTTTTTCTCATATTTTCTAAAATGCTCCAATATTAATAATTAATGAATTAAAACTTGTAAAAACTTATAAAATAAAAAACACAACAAATTCAATTCGTAACCTAAACAAATCATTCAAAATCTACATTCTATCATTAACTTGCATTCATCCTAAATTCATCATTCATAACCCAAATAAAAAAATCCTACATTGAAAATTCAACATTCATCATTCCTAATGTGGGCGGGTTGGGCGGGTGCGGTTCAAACCCGCAACCCGCCCGCAACCCGAAATTTATGTAAAATCCAAACCGCACCCTACCCTAATGTGTTTGCGAACCCGCCCACATGCGTGTGGATCGGATCAGGTAGGACGGTTTGGGCGGGTCGGATAACCCTATGGCCAACCCTAGTCACTAATGCTAGAATTTTGTAAAGGAGTAAATATCTTTTACAAAAATGATTAAATTATATTTTATCCTCTTTATGGGTTGATTTTATATTTAGGTAGGGCCTCATGTGTTGTTAATTTTTTATTTTGACTATTAAAAATTTATTTTTTCTCATATTTATTCTTCAAGTTTTAAGTTTTTTTCAATATACTTTAAAAATTAATTTATCTCTAAAAGTAAATAGAAAATCAAACATTGTCAGCCATGTAATATCAAAATATTTTATAATCTATAACTTACCCAACTCTTAATATAATAATATTTTTTTATCTCATGTGATAACTAGTATGACATTTTTTGTCTAATTTTGAATAAAAGTTAGTTTTAAGAATAAATTTTTAAAAAAAATGAAGGGTTAAAATAGAAAAAAAAATAAACTTCAAAAGTCAATGTAAGAAAATAACTAACATAAAGGAAGCAAAATATAATTTACCCTAAAAAAACGCATTGAAACTAGAATTTTACAAATCACACCCAAATTATGGAATATTTTGGAAAGTAGGTTAAAAGTCAATTTTTTGACTTCTTTTTTAAAAAGCACGTGAAAAAGTAAAGAGAAGATCAGTGGCGGAGCCAAAAATTTTATGTAAGTGGGGCACCTATTAATTACAATCTCAAAATTTTTTCGTGATCATTAGGGTTATAGTTCATAATCCAAGGTCGTAATCCTGAATCTGCAGGAAGGTCTACCAAGTTGATTTCTATACAACTTCATTTCGGAGAGGAAAAATTATCACTTTCTTTTTGAGGAATAGATGACTTCAACTTTGATTTACTTTTGAAGTATTTCTCTATGACTATTTTAAAATAAAAATAAAACCCTAATCAAAATCCCTAATTTTAGTACAAATCACAACAAATCAAAATCCATAATTTTAATATAAATTTTAGTATAAATTAAATCCGTAATTTTAGTACAAATCACCACAAATCAAATCCCTAATTTTAGTACAAATCACAACAAATCAAAACCCCAAATTTCATATAACTCACCACAAATCAAGATTCCTAATTTTATTGTTAATTTTAAATCCCTAACAAATCACAGCAAATCAAAAGCCCTAATTTTAATATAAACCACCACAAATCAAGATTTTTAATTTGGAAAATTTACTCATAAATCCTATTTTCTGAAAAGTTGAACCATTTAGTCTTAAAAGTTTTCTTATGCACCATTTAGTCCCATTTATACATCATCATCAAAACAACATCAAACATCATCAGATATTTTTGATGTTTGTGGGTGTTTCAAACATCAGATTCATTTTTAAAAAAAACTCACCTTGTTCACTTTTCCATCTTCCATTATCACAGCTTTTCAACAGACTCAAAAATTTCACAAACTTCAAATTTCAAAGATCTAACTGGAAAAAAAAAACAAAAAACAAAAAACAAATCAAGAAAAAACGATGCTAAAACGATTGAATTCGAGTCGAACCTTGGTGAATTCTCGAGAAATCGAAGCTTTAGCATAATCAAGCAGCGGAGAAAATAGTTTCGGAAATCTTCCGAAATCTCAGGTGCGAAACAGAACCGAATCAGATCGGATCGGCTGTTACGCGATGAATCTGATGAAAGAGATCGACGGCGGCCGATTGGTCCGCCATTGTTAGGGTTTACAAAACACGTCGGAGTTGAGAGAGACAGACAGACAGACAGATTCAGGACATTATCAAGATGTTGCTCTGGTTCTCTCTCTGCGATTGCCAGTGGGATCCAAACCCAGATTCGATGATGTTTTGTTCATGATGTTTTGACGTTGATGTTCATGATAGTAAACATTAGATTATTGAAATCTGATGTTCATGATGGTAAATGAATCTGATGTTTCATTCTATAATTTCAAACATTATTGAAATCTGATGAACATTAGATGTTTGAAATCTAATGTTTGAAACATTATTGTAATTTTTCACGATGTTTGAAATCTGATGTTTGAAATCTGATTTCAAACATTGTAATTTTTCACATTATTGTAATTTGATGTTGCTTTGATAATGATTTTGTGATGTTTGATATTATTTTGATAATGATGATGTTGTTTTTATGATGATGATGTTTGATGTATATGCCCTCTATGGTCAGTTTCCTTATAATGGACCTTTCTATAAGAAAACTTTTAGGACTAAACAGTGTATAAGTTGTTAATTTGAAATTTATTGGTACATCACCCTTTTAATTTTAGCATATCAAAATCTCTAATTTTAACATAAATAATCACAAATAAATCTTTTTCTAAATTTAACAAATCAAAACATATCATTTTAACCGCAAATAACCATAAATCAATACATTATTTTTCATTTAAAGCAAAAGATGAGAGAGAGAGAGAGAGAGAGAGAGAGACCTTGTTCACTTTTCCATCTTCCATTATCACAACTTTTCAACGGGCTCAAAAATTTCACAAACTTCAAACTTCAAAGATCTAACTGGAAAAAAAAAATCAAGAAAAAGCGATACTAAAATGATTGAATTCGAGTCGAACCTTGGTGAATTCTCGAGAAATCGAAGCTTTAGCATAATCAAGCAGCGGAGAAAATAGTTTCGAAAATCTTCCGAAATCTCAGGCGCGAAACAGAACCGAATCAGATCGGATCGGCTGTTGCGCGATGAATCTGATGAAAGAGATCAACGGCGGCCGATTGGTCCGCCATTGTTAGGGTTTACAAAGCACGTCGGAGTTGAGAGAGACAGACAGATTCAGGACATCATCAAGATGTTGCTCTGGTTCTCTCTCTGCGATTGCCAGTGGGATCCAAACCCAGATTCGATGATGTTTGTTCATGATGTTTTGACGTTGATGTTCATGATGGTAAACATTAGATTATTGAAATCTGATGTTCATGATGGTAAATGAATCTGATGTTTCATTCTATAATTTCAAACATTATTGAAATATGATGAACATTAGATGTTTGAAATCTAATGTTTGAAACATTATTGTAATTTTTCACGATGTTTGAAATCTGATTTCAAACATTGTAATTTTTCACATTATTGTAATTTGATGTTGCTTTGATAATGATGTTGTGATGTTTGATGTTATTTTGATAATGATGATGTTGTTTTGATGATGATGATGTTTGATGTATATGCCCTCTATGGTCAGTTTCCTTATAATGGGACCTTTCAGTCTATAAGAAAACTTTTAGGACTAAACAGTGTATAAGTTGTTAATTTAGAATTTATTGGTGCATCACCCTTTTAATTTTAGCATATCAAAATCTCTAATTTTAACATAAATAATCGCAAATAAATCTTTTTCTAAATTTAACAAATCAAAACATATCATTTTAACCGCAAATAACCATAAATCAATACATTATTTTTCATTTAAAGCAAAAGATTAGAGAGAGAGAGAGAGAGAGAGAGAGAGAGAGAGAGAGAGATTACTTGTAAACAATGGAGAGAATAGGCTGAGAGTTGGAGTGTGGTCTCGTGTGTGGTGTGGTCCCGATTCACCGTGAGTCGAGGCAGAAGTGAGTCGAAGAGTCGAAAGGAAGACTACAGCAATAGCAGAAAGCAAAGTGTTGTGATATGAATAAAGAAATGGGAGACAGGATGTATGTATATACATCTTAGAGTTAGAGATTGAGTAGCGGGTAGGGCCCATTGCACCTGTTTGGTACACAATTTCTTTTTGCAAATTTTTTTTTTTTTTTAAAGATAGGGCCACATCTGTTTTGTGTTTTAAAAATAAGTAATAAAAAATAAAAAAATTCTAAAAGTTAGGGGGGAAACATGACCCCATGGTCCCTTCTTAAGTCCGCTTCCAGAGGAGATATGACCCAAAAAAAAATCAAAAAGTCAATTTTTTTGACGTTTAACCCAATTGTCAAAATTGGCCATATACTTGTCAACCATGTTCAATTGCAGAATTAGTTCATTAAATAGTAAGAAAGCTAATAAATGGAAATTTTCAAAAGTCTATTCGTAGAAATCTACACTTTCAATTTTCCAATATTTTTAAAATAATAATAGTAATCTTCACATTCAATAACCCTGTTTTGGCAGGAAACAGTTCCCGACATCCATCTCTTAATAATCTCCTAACTTTAAAATTAGGAGGTTATCATGTTTGGTTTAATTTTCATAAATTTATTTTAATTTTTTTCTTTAAAAAAATATAAAAAATTAATTTATTGAAAGAAATAAAAAAAAATACTTACTATTTTTATATAATTTTATTTTTAGGAGAACAAAAATAATTTTTTAAGACTTAAAAAATATATTTTTTAGGGAAATTGACCGGTAAATCCCATATTGTGGACTTGTAATCCATAAAGTCCTGAATATTTTCTTAGTGATTGGGTGGTCCCTTAATTTGTTTGTTGACAGTTTTGCCACTGCTAATATTATTGATTGACATTTGGTGTGGGTTTATATGTGATAAGCTGAATGAGTGTTTGTATGTCACGCTGATCGAAAAAGCACACTAATGCTTTTTTTAATTTAGTAAGTGTGTGACACTCAAACCATGAGATGTGGGTTGTGACGTGAACACAAGTGCTCCTTTCTTTTTTTTTTTTTTTTTGTGACGTGGGTTGTGACGTGAGCGCAAGTAATTTGACATTTTTTTTTTTTGTGTGACGTGAACTAAGTAATTTGACATAGTTTGACATGAGTAATTTGACACGAGTAATTGTGTCACGTTCGGCTTTCCCACAGTTTGACCATTGTTTTCCAATTGCCATTTGTGACGTTTCGACATGAACCTTACCATTGACCATCAATGGCGAACCTTACCATTGACGTTTCGACGTGAACCTTACCATTGACCATCACGTGAACACAGTCTAGCGATACGAATTGTGGGTTGTTTGTGAAGCTGAAAAATGGGTACACATTGACCATCAATGGCGACCCAGTATCCTTCAAAAATTGCAGCAATGGACCCATTATTGATTGGTGATTTGGATCGAAAGATGAGGCCGAGGGAGGGTATGAATTCATCAAAACCGAAGCTGCGTGAGATGTTGAGAGCTTGATTGTGTCTGATAAACCCAAAGTTTGAAGAGCTATGTACAGATTGTTCATGGCAGGGACTAAATAGGGCGTGTAAAATAGGTCTTTGAGGAGGATTTCGTTGCCTACGACAATGTACTTGATTTGGGTGGGGGAGATGTTGGAGAAGATGTTGGATTGGAGCCATTGGAGAGAGGGGTCTATGGTGGTGGTGGCGAGGAAAGGGAGGAGTTCGTTGGGGACTCCGATCATGAGGGAGATGTCGGTGCCGGAGAATGATGTGAGTGTATCAAGATCGGTGTTGAAGAGGCGGACGGTGGTGATTCCATTCGATTTGAGGAGGTTGACGGCGGTGGAGGGCCGGTTGTTGGCCAGTCGGCCATAGCAAATTCCGATAGGTGCAGGAGCTGCTGCAAAAACAGGGGAAGCAATACAAGAATTTGGGTGAACCACGTTCCCCTCGCTACAATGACAGTGAGTCACGTTTCTATGCAGCAAACCAAGTTCCCATAAACGGCTTCCCTTACCCCCAAGAAAAATGGGATACGACATATAAAAAAAAAAGAAGTAGCATCCCATATAATTAAGTGAGGGCAAATCAGGCAAGCCCACACCAAAAACATTCAAAAAAAGACTTATGGGTAAGCAATCCCACCTAAAATGAAGTTAACAATCAAACAAAATATCAGCAGGACCAAACGGAACATCATTTATGAATAAAGGACTTTCGGATAAATTTCCCTATTTTTTATCTTTATTTATCAAATTAATTTCTATTTTTTCAAAAAGAAAATTCTGAAATTCTTTTTGAAAGAGAAACCAAACATGAAATCCCAGATACTTTTGACAGTATCGGCAAATCGAGACTCCCGCACAGAGGAAGCAAAGTGGTAGCAAAAAAAAACAAAAAAGGGCAAATCACACCACAATAGTGTTAGCAAAATATATTCATAAATAGATAGTAAACATTATAAATATTAAAATTATAAAATTTATCATGAATTTGTAATAATTTTTTGTTGACACCACAGCATAGTGATCCCCCCCACCCCCACAAAAAAAAAAATCAAAAAAATCAAAAAGATGAAAAGATAGAAAAAATCTTACAGAAATAATTCATCACTTTCATTACTTATAAAATGTCAACACTTTCATTCAAAAACATCATCTTATCATTGGCATCACTACAACCAAATATCGCTCGCTTAATAACAAATTTAAAAAATCTATTAAAAAAAGTATAATATAAACATCCCTTTGCCAACCACTTTAACAAATTTTTCTTTTTACAGGTTGGCAGACGCAGAATTTCCCTCTAGTTAGAGCCAAAAATCATAATCGTATCATTCGCTCTTAAACTTTCTTCATAAAGTTTTAATAACGAATTTAAAAAATCTATCAAAAAAAAGTATAATTGTACGGGGAAGAAATAAACCTTCTCGTATAATCCTGTTGATCAAGTCTGCGCTCCTCCGTATGTCGTCGCTTTATCACCTGTGAACACAAACGTAAGTTAGCCGGCGGGTGTGTGCCGGAAACTTCTTCGATGCCTAAGTCAGTAAGCTTGACAAATAGACAAAAGCTCTGTGTATTCAGAAAACAAAGTTGTGTTACCTCTCCATATGTGATGTTTGTGAGCTTTTATAGGTTTCGTGTGGCACAATCCTAGTAGGACTTCTACTCCTCCCTGCAGAGTCCTCCTAGGATTCATACTCCTGAAGGATAATGCTTATCCTTCAACACCCCCCTCACTGCTTAAACCAAGTGAGATGGTTTTACCATGGCCGAACTACCATACGACCGAAGTAAGAATGGCCTACTTAGTCCGAACTATAATTAGTTTGGTTCTCTGTCCTTTGTTCCTCTTCCACTTACCAGGGTATGCCCAAAACCGAACTATCTTTTTACCAAGGTATAGACCGATCTAGTTTAGCTGCGCCATGACCGTTATAACGTTCAAAGCATCCTTCAACCAAGCTAATCACCAAGAGTCCTTCGGACCGTCTAATCTTCTGGCCTTGAGACGGACTAAATTAACCTCTTCAAGACCGGAGTAACTTTTTGGCCTTTTTACTCACCCTTCACACCGAGGCCCATAACAACCCAGCTCGGCCCATAACAACCCAGCTCGGCCCAATTCGCATATAAATTACCCTCTCAATTGTCCCTTAATTCTATCTGCATAGCATGATAGGGATTACCTGTTTATCAGCCGAGCTAAACTATCTTTTAGCCTCTCCAGCCGAGTTAAAACCTTCTAGCTTTTCCAGCCGAGCTAAAAAAACCCCCATAAGCATATCCAGCCGAGCTAAAACCTTCCAGCCTATCCAGCCGAGCTAATTACACACCAGGCTCCGCTTGTCCGGTCAAAATGTCTCTTCAATCACAGCATCTGAATCGATTCCCATTCTAACGACACGTGGCAGGTTGTTATTGGTCATCCACAGCTGTAACGCCGCCCTCGTACTTCGCAATATTCGAACAGTTCCCGCCTCCAGCTCCTTCACCAACACAAACTCTTTTGCATTTCAAAATCACTCACCATACTATTCAACTTCTCTCTCTGAACCTCCATTGCTCTTCAACCTCTGAGCTCGTGTTCTCCATTGCTGCTGCTCTCATCTCCAGTTCTTGCCTCTTCATCTGGTAAGCATTGCACCTCTATCTTGCTTTCCTTGTTTTCGTACTTTGTTTTGTGTGTTTTTGCCAAACACATTTTTTTTCATTTGCTTTGCTTCTTCTGAAAACACTATGTTAGTATAATCCTCAAGTATTCATGAAATAACCTGTAGAACACTGCCTTTGATCCAAAATTACACATAACCGAACTAGTAAACTGTTTGTAGTTTGATGCCAGTGAGACCAGACTATACAACCGAAACTAACACTCGTACCATTAGTTTCATTAAGTCGAACCTTTTGTTTTATCATAGCCGAGATAAGAAACCGAACTAATTATGCAATCAGTGTACTGGGAAAACCTCAATTCCGACCGAACTACGGCTTCGGGGCTAAACCAGCTTTCTAAGTTTTTAGACCGAACTAAGAAAGCTGCCCCTAGGCGCTCAACCGGTCTAATAGAACCTCCCCTCAACCGAGATATCAATCACCTTGTTGGAACCGAGATAGATCCTGTAACATCCTACATAGCCGAAGTAGGTCTTTTATTTTCTTTGATTTTTTTTCTTTGTAGCACGGTCCAACGATCTGTGCTTAACACCTTTGTTTTTCACTTTGCAAACTTAGGTTGCCCAGGCACTCTGAGCGCTCAACCGAGCCACTGAGCACAATTTTGCCACCGATCTAATTTATTCATAACTTATAAAATAAATGGGGAAGTATAGATTTTTAGTAAATACTCCGAGCGGTCTAGCCGAATTCCGAAAAGATTACAATATACCCGACGACGTCCAACTCACTTTAGCCGAACAAGATGTTGTACCATGGGGCAAAGAAGGCTTTGTACCCTTTACCCTTCTTTCAATAATAGAAATCGGGCTAAGATTTTCAGTCCAACGCCTAATTTGTGAATTCCTTAGGCAAACCAGACTATGCCCAACCCAGCTTTCCACCAACTCCTACCGTATAATAATGGGTATAGCCGAACTAAACCGCCCAATACTCCATTGGTTCGAAGGAAGACGGCTGGGTGTACTATCTTAGAATACGCCGTCGACGTGAGAAAATAATAAAAAACACACCGGATAAAGACTTGAATGACGACGATTTTTTCTGGGTGTCTGGGAACTTTGAGGATCACCAAGCCCAGATTCCTGGCCGAAGCATTAATTGGAAAAAAGGAACACCTGGTATAATTACTTCGGTTTTCTTGTGTGTTTTACTATATTTCGGTTTTCAATTTTTCAGCCGAACTAACAGTTGTCTTCTTTCGTAGATTCTGCCCACCTCTAGTCTCTATACAGTTACCCAAATCTAGCGACCTTACGCGCCGCACTATGGTATCCAGAACGTAGTTGGGCCAAGCTGCTAAAGTTCGAACCGACCTATAGATACAGCGGCCGCCGAAAAGCCAGAGTAACAGACTTTTTGTTGGAAGACGCTCCTGAACCGAACCCCACCTTGCCACAAATTAACTTAGTCCCTCTGACAGCCGAACAAGAAATGGCAAAAAAGAATAGAGTCAGGGCCCTCCTGACCGAAACCACCAGACCCGAAGTTCCGCCACCATGCAAAACTCAAGAGACCGTGGTGGCCCTTCCTTCTCAACAGCCTTCTTTATCACGCCGAACTAAACGCGCCCGAACTACCCAGACCGAACAACGGTTAGTTGATGAAGACGAAACCACCCTCCCACCGAGCCACCCACCGAGTCCGCAACCAGAGCCATCTAACCGAGCTACCTCCAAGTGGGCACCGAAGCTCACTTATCAGAACCAAGATATTAAGGAAACTAATTCGGTGGTTGCTGAGAAGGATCATATACTGGCCTTCAACCTTGCCAAAAGTGTGTGCCTTCCAAAGGACATGGAGCACCACAATCAGTTAAACACCGAGCTGAAGGCCATCCGGTCTTCAACAAAATCCATGATCCTGGTAGGTAGCACTCTCTTTTGCTTTTGTACCTTTCTAATTCTTCCTACTTTCAGCTCGGCTAAAAAGGAAAGTTTCTATTCTATTGTTGGCCATTCAGAAGAACCACATTGCACACAAGCGAGTGTTGGAGCTCAGGAGAACATCAAGGGAGGCCATGGCAGAGGCCGAAGGCAAAACCGCTGAGCTCAAACAAGAACAAGTGAGGACGGCCGAGCTGGAGGCCGAGGTGACTCGTCTGACCGGCCTAGTTGCTTCGGCCGATGCTGACAAACAGAGAGCCCTAACCGAGATGAAAAACAAGTATTTGCGGGAACTGGCGAAACTTGAGGGTGTTAAGGACGCCGAAATAAACGTTCTGAAGAAGAAAGCTGAAGATGCCGAGGTGAAGGGCTTCAAGGAAGGCGAAGCTGCATATATCCAGCAGTGTGAAGCTGCGAAGGACTTGTTCTTCAAGTGCGGCTGGAGGGGTGCCGTAGAGCAGCTCGGTTGCGGTCCCGACACCGAGGTCTTCAATGCTCCTCAGTATTTTATTCCGGCCTCACTGGCAGAGTATGCAGCCGATCTTCAGAAGCAATTCCTTGAAGCGTCTGACGATGACGATGAAGAGAATGAGCCAACTGACACTCCGGTTGACAATGTTCCAGCTAACCAATCAGTTCGGGCGGAGCCTGCAGTGGAAGATCTGACCATTGAGCAACCTGCTGAAACCGAGCTCCCAACTCAGACTGTAATTCCGTCTGAAACCGGACTTCGGGTTGATGCCGAGCTGGATGTCGAAATAGATGACCTTTTTAGCTTATTTTGTATTTTTTCTTTCTCCTTTTTGCTTCGACTTGTAACCGGGCTATGGCCCCCCCTTTTGTAATCGCTTTGAACTTGATTAATGAGAATGATCTTCTTTTGTGCTAACTGTTATTCCGGTTTGATCTGTATGCTTGTGCCTGTAATGACTTTTTAATGACTTCTATTGCTCCAACTGTAATCTTGGTTTACTTTCCTGTTTGAGCATGCTTTCTAACTGCAACTTGAAGCATACTATTTTTCGGCCGAGATACTTTATTTCGGTCTTACCTGTGCCAACTGACTGATCTTACTAGCCAGCCACTCTTTAGCCGATACGCGTACTTCGACTGAGGAGTACCAAGAGTGGTTTAATCCAGTCAACCATTCT